TGAGCATCAGAATGCAGGTGGTGACACTGGGGTCCAGTTATTTCTTGTGGAATGGCACACACTGCCACCTGTGCAGGCTCTTGAGAAGGGGAGGCTGCAGGAAGCTTAGCAGGTGGCATCCATCCCTGCTAGAGATGTCACTTTGGAGCTTGATTGGCCAGTCCTAGGGCGGGCCTGGGAGGGTGCAGAGGGAGAGTGCAGTGGGAGGGTGCAGAGGGGAGGGACACAGGGGAGGAACACAGGGGAGGGTGCTAATATGTAAGTTCTTCATACCTACAGTCAGGTAGAACAGCTGCTGGCTTATTCCAGTTTTCACTCATCTTTCATTCATGTAGTCCTTGAACAGACCTTCCCTAAGGGCCACCCAGGCTCAGCCCTCTGGACCTGTGCTGGAGGAGCTGACAACAGACAATCAAGGTGGGGAGGTGGACCTGGCTTAAGGAGGGAGACGTTGGAAAGGACCACCCATGTGGGGACAGCAGGAGACAAAGCCTGGGCTAGGTACAGGTACAGACACAGAGCAGAGAATGACAGTCAAGGCTGTCAGGAGAACCTCATGGGACCCTGGACGGGCTTGCCTGAGTCCATGGGCCCTGTGTGCCATGAGAACTGTGTCCTGGAGGCAGTGGGGAGCCGTGAGGAGATTTGGAGGAGTCATGGGGAACCTGTGTAGAACTCAGGCTAGTCTTAGCTGTTCAGCCAGGCTGAAGGCTCCAGGGGGCCGGTGCCTGTGGGAGCTGCTCAGGCAGGGGCTCCAGTGGAAGAGGGAGCTGGTGCCTGGCCACCTCAGGGGTTCTTTGCATCAGCCATGGGCTTGGGCGCAAGATACAGGTATCTGGGATCCTGTCTCAAGTCCTTTCTGCTCCTGTGGCACATCCTCAGATATGGCACTTGCCTTCTCTGTGTCAACGCTTCCCTGTGCCTAAGTGGGACCCTCCCAGCAGCTTCATCCCAGTGGATCACTGAGCAACTAATGTGGAGGTGACAATGTAGAAAGATGGGTTGGAAGAGGGAGCCTGGCTCTGGGCTATGTCACACAGGTATGGCTCTGCCCCCTAACTTCTCTGTCTGTGGGAGCCGTGGTGGCAAACACCTCCCCAGATAAGTGTAAAGCCCCCTGAGCTGCCCCTCTGTGGATTCCCCCTCAGTGTTCAGGCGCACCTGGGGCCTCCACTGTCCTATACTCCAGGCCCAGGAAAGGGGTTCAGCCAGGGGTCACTCATCCTCTGCTGAACCTTAGGGAACATGCCCACACCGGGGCCGAATGCCTGCCCTGGGGAAGTAGAACCGGGGCAGACTCCGCTTCAGCTGTTTGCTGTAGATGAGTGTTGGCAGCCCATCAGCTATCAGGGAACCCAAGCTCACGCTTCAGGGGGACCCTGTAATGATAGGCCACAATGAGGTCATTTATATTGGCTAAGCGGGCCTAATTAGGCTTGATCTGAAGGTTAGCAGAAGCACACAGAAAAGCTGTTAAGGGGTTAACCTCAGGGAGATTACGTTGTATTCAGCGCTCTGTTAAAGTTTGAATTAATTTTTCCCATGGGTTTGCTCACATTCTAATTTTCAACTAAATGAGACATCTGTTTCAGAAAAGGAAAATTTGCTCTGGTTGTCATGGCAACTATCATTCTGTAAGAAAATTATTCCAATGGTTACTTCAGAACAGAAAGACAGAGATTCAGGACATAAAGCTGCCTTCGGCTCAGTCAGAATTCTGATGGGCCACCCTCCGTGGCCATGAGGTGTCGGATGGTGAGGCCAGTGGCAGGTGGAGGTGGCACCAGATCCAGGTGTTAGATGTGATGGAAGCTGGTCCAGGGGCTCTTGGGCACCCCAGTGTCATGGCTTGAGAACTAGTGGGTGATATTCCAAAGTCGGATGGCAGTGAGGGCCAGGGCAGTGTGGGTGTGTCCTTTGTGGGCAATACCAGGCAGCCATAGAGAGAGCTGGTCACTGGGCTGTTCACAGTGCTAGGCTTCACTGGGTACAGGTCAGTGCATCCCCAAACAGCACCCCATGAGTTTCCAGTGCAGACTGTATGTACACTGGAGATGGTCCCTCCTTTGTCTCCTGGGTCAGCAGCAACTGGTGGTTGCTGTGCCTGGGCCCTGATAGCCCAAAGGCCTCAATGACTGGCACAGCCACCCAGCCCTGCCCACTGTACAGGAAAAACCCTCACTGGAACCGTCTCGGAAATATCTTCCAGAAATTTCCCTGCAGGCTATGCCTCCCTCTGCTCCCCAATGCTAATGGCATGTGTGCAAATATTCCCCTGAAGTCTCCAGCCATACCCTTGTCAGCCCTCTCCCTCCATGTTGCTCTGAGCAGGACACAGCAGCTGGCCTTAATGGTCCAGCCTGGGAGAGGTGAAGGGCCAGCCAGGGGCAGAGTCAGCGTGACCCTGCTTGGATGACATTCTAACCTGTCAGAGGGGGACAGGCAGCCCCCAGACTTCCAAGAGCTGAGGTCCTGCTGACTGCTGTCCCCGGAGTGCTTTGTGGTCCTGGAGTGTGGAATGGCTCCTCTGGGCATCCCTATGAGAGTCGGTGTCCAATTTTCCCTCCAGGGCAAGGCTCTGTGGCGCTGCGTGAGGGGAGGCTGGCAGGCAGGGGTGGCCTGGGCTGGCTTCCGGGGTCCATGGGACATCTGCTGTGCTTCTCAAAGCTACCCCCACAGTGGTTCAGGAGAACTAACACTAACAGGGTACCTCTTCTCTATACTGATGAGGCCTTGTCCTGCGGTGTAAATATTTGATTAGATTTTTGAGAACTGAAACCTGTGTTTGGAAGACACCACCAGTCATACACTGTTCCACATTCTGGGAGCTGGCGGGACACTGCGTGGTTTCCAGGCTTCTGTGGCCTTTCTGAGCCCCCTCCACTCCCTCAACTGCACAGTTCTGAGAATCCTAGATAATGATTCAGAAACTGCACAGCCCTTGGAATCTGTAGAGAGGGGCTGCCGGTGCCAACCATGGCAGAAAAGGACCCTTACCTTGTGACCAGGTGTGTGACTGGGGGTGTGTGTCTTGATCTCAGATTCTCTGAGGTCTCCTATCCTGCTTCCCCTTTAGAAATGCTCTTGCCAGCCATCAAAAATCCAATTAAAAAACCCTCGTTTACACCCAAGCTTTGTGGGTTGCTTTTAGGAGCAGTCCATGGAGATGGGTTTGATGGTGATGATGGTGGCAGCGGAGGTGATAAGGATTGTGATATTGGCGGTGATGATAGTAATGGTGGCTTTAATGAGAAACGATGATGAAGGTTATGGAGCTGAGGATGACGGTGGAGGTAGAGATAATAATGGTGATGACTGTGAGGAGGTGATAATGGTGATGGTGGAGGTGGTAATATGGTGGAAGTGATGACAGAGACAGTCAAGGTGAGGGATGGTCTATGGTGGAGATGATGGTGGTGACAGGGGTGGTGATAGTGGATGTGTTGATGTGGATGTGACAGAGGGGATGAGGATGGTGGTGCCATGGCAGAGCACTGAGTTCCCACTGTTGAGCAACAGTGCCACCTCCGTTTCACAGAGAACTCCAGGCACAGAGCTGGGGAGGAGTCAGGTGTTTGTCAGCCGTGGTCAACCTAACTCTCTTAAAACTCACAAGTGGCAAGTGGTGGACTATCCTAACCTCAGTTTGACTCCGGGGGACCCTAGAAGCTGTGTGTAAAGCCTGTGTGTGTGTGTGTGTGTGTGTGTGTGTGTGTGTGTGTGTGTGTGTGGGTGTGTGG